ATTAACAGCAACTACCCAGTCCTGACTTATCTTTTCTTCCTAATCTCATAACAGTGAAGGGATTGCCAGCGTACCTTGACCAGAAATATCCTTGATCAGAGAAGCTAGACAGATTTTGTACCTTCAGAAGCTATATAAAATGGTTTTATTCAATTCAAAATGTCAAAAGTGATCTCAAATGTTCGTATTAAACTCTTTCATAGTATTGGATGAACCGATGAAGGTTTATGATTGTTCTTTCACTGAAAGGTTCTTCTATTTTGCAAGACAACAAAAATAAAAATAGAACAGAAACAAACAAATAAACAAAAGTAGATAAAGAAACCACCAAAAAGAGACATGAATTTTGGCTGAAACAGAACATCCATAAGAAAAAATGTGACCAATATCGATCAAGCTACTGGTGTACAACCTAGGCTTCTTAGCCGAAAAAGCTAACTGTAGGCCATATCAATCAAGCTACTGGCATACAACCTATGGGCTTCTTAACCAAAAAAGCTAGAAACAACGTCAATTAGCTTTTGATTGAAAGGTAATTGTAGCTTCAAAGTCAAAGGGGAAGTTTCTTCTCATATGAAGTATTCAAATTAAGACTAGGTCTGGAAATCAAGACATTTGCAAATGAAACTTAATATTGATTTCTTTTTCGAAGAACAGGGGAAGGTCAGCTTGTTATGAAGTTAGAAGTTTCTCTCTCAAATCCACTCTCGTTCCATTCGGGGGCAGAAGGGGTAGGGGCTGATAAAATATTGCATTGTATTCAATCCCCTGTACATTTTTCTTCAAATCTATGGATAACTCGTCAGCATCAAACACAATCCAATTATGTGTTGAAATTCCAAGTCCCCTCCACCGTTTTCTAGCAGCAACAAGCCACAAAGTTATTCGTGGATCAACTCAATGCTAGAAGAAGAACTAAATTCACAGTAGGTGAGCACATCAGTTGCTTGAGGTCATCGATACAGCCACTACAATATCGTCCCCTGCAATGTGACAACTGTACTTCTATCTTTAAGGGAAAAATCTACAATTGCGCAAAATCAATACAAATAGAGGAAGATAATGAAGAGAATGATGACACCCTCATCCCAGACAATATGACTCCACTCAGATATCCATTAAGTTCTCCAGCCTGATAACTAAGCTTGGCATAAGGGGAACTTTTCTTACAGTCTCTTCAATATACGATATGAATATTGTGTACTAAGAAAAACATCTCTTAAGTACTACATATGAAAAAGTTCTGAGATTAAAATGTAATGAAGCCTCGGTATGGAGTTCAAATTTCAGAAGTCACCCAGTTGGTCCAGTTGTCCTACAGTAATTGCTTTACCAGCTAAATGACAATATTCATGGGAAAATGGTGTCATTTGATATGTACTACAGGGGCTGCTTGTGTTAAATAATTGGATATATGTCAAGAATCAAAACGCAAAAAGAAACAATGTTAATGTCTCAATATATTCAGTAAGAAGAAGTTATTGATAATCAAGTGACATAATTAATTACTGCAGGCATGCTTACCTTTTGAAATAAAAGAAATCAGTGCATCATTGGGACAGCACACCGTGTACAAGAGCTTCTGCAGTTGAAGTCCCAAGCATCAGCACATTTGATACCAGAGTTGGCCATGAGTTCATAAATGTCGTCTTTGAAAAGCTAGAAACTCCTCAAGAAACGTCCCAAGCATCAGCGCATTTGATACCAGAGTTGGGCAGGAGTTCGTAAATGTCGTCTTTGAAAAGCTAGAAACTCCTCAATAAACCAAGACCAAGTGAATCAAAAGCTAATTACAACATTGTAGATGACCACCATCATTCCATATTTGAATTTTTTTTCACAAAATAGAAATCGGATTAATATTAATCCATTAGATATGAATTTTTGAAGAAGGCAATATATATCCTTGTCTCACGTGACGTGTCCTCTCATTAAGATGAAAATACCAAGTAACATCTGTTGCTTTCTTTCTTTCTTTTTCTTTGGTAAGTGGCTGTTGCTTCCGTTCATTAGTAGTAACAAGTTCTATTTTTAGAAGGGACCAAGGACAGTGACAATGGAGGAAAAGATAAAATGTGAAACGGAAAAAGGAAAGCAAGGACCTATCATAAAGTGAGAGATCAAGAACCGAAAGCAAAAATGAAATCTTTCACCCAACTACGCTGACCGGTGCTATAGGCATACAAAAAAAAAAAAAAAATTAGGAAGGAAAAATAACTGATAACTCAGGCCCCACAAAGGGTGTTTGACTTGGTTGCAGTTCATTCTCAAAGAAATAATATCACAAATGAAAGAACATTATAAGAATCTGTCAATGTGTGACCACTAAGATGGTGACAATAGTAACATTATCTAATTCTAAGAGAAAGTCTATATATATATATATATATATATATAGTCTTGCTTGGCAATGAATTATTTTCTAAGAGATGAAATACTCCATGTAACCAGAGAAAAAGGTCATCCACAATAATTTTGCATTCATTCCGGATATATACAAAGGAAAATATATTCTATCCTCAACTAAAAGCTAAAAATTGAGAAGTCTAAAACAGCTCAACATGTGTTTGAAGATAGGACAGGGCCACCACATATATGCCCATACAAACTCCACAGAATCAAACACATCTATTAGGCATTTTGGCCAAATTAGCAAGGAGTAAACATTATGTTCAACCATAATCACAACAAAGAGAGAATCGAACCCATCTATTATAGCCATTTCGGCCAAATTTGCAAGGAGTAACCATTATGTTCAACCATGATCACAACAAAGAAAGAATCAAACAAAACTGTTAGGCATTTCGGCCAAATTTGCAAGGAGTAACCATTATGTTCAACCATGATCACAACAAAGAAAGAAAGAATCGAACACTTCTATTAGGCATTTCGGCCAAATTAGCAAGGAGTAACCATTATGTTCAACCATGATCACAACAAAGAAAGAATCGAACACGTCTATTAGACATTTCGGCCAAAATTTGCAAGGAGTAACCATTATGTTCAACCATGATCACAACAAAGAAAGAATCGAACACGTCTACTAGACATTTCGGCCAAAATTTGCAAGGAGTAACCATTATGTTCAACCATGATCACAAAAAATAAAGAATCGAACACGTCTATTAAGCATTCGGCCATATTTGCAAGGAGTAACCATTATGTTAAAAGATACAAGAAAACCAATGAAGAAGGGGGAAGCTGAGGGAAAAACATAGTCAATAAATATAATTTTCATTAATTTCATACTGAACATGAAAGAATGAGAAACAATAATCAAGAAGGAAAAAAAATAAGTAAACCATGCAAATTGATTGCAAATATTACTAAATTATGCCAATCAAATTTACAACAAAATAGGCAAGACTATAACCCAGTGAGAAGAAACAAGAGGTGTCCTCCAGAATTTTCTTCTCTGCTATTTTCACCCGAAGCAATGCACCAAATCGTACAAAAACTATTATATACCAATCCAATTTAGCAACGGTAAATGATAATACCCACATTATCATTTTTGGTCATTAGGGCAATCTCTTGCAAAATGTCCTTCTTCCCCACAATTATAACATGCCCCGCCGCCGCCGCGTCCGCCGCCACGTCCGCCGTATCCTCCATTCCTGCCGCCGCCGCCACCACCACCCTGATAGCAATCCCTCGCTAGATGCCCAATTCGCCCACAATTATAGCACTCTCCTCCTCTGCCACCACTACCGCCGCCGCCGTAGCCGCCTCTCCGACCACCCCTCCCATACTCGCCAGCATACCCCTCGTCGAACCTCCCGAAACCACCCCTACCCCTCCCGCCGTAACCCACTCTTCCTCTTCCTCCCCCTCCTCCGCCTCCACCGCCGCGAAAGGCGCCGCCTCCACGCCCACCGTACGGACGGCGAGATCCTGCCACACCCACCACGTCGACGGCTTTGGTGCGGCCATCTTCGCCGGTGTCGACGACGAACTCGACCCGCTGGCCCTCCCGGAGGGTCCGGAAGCCTTCAGATCGGATCTCCGTCTGGTGGACGAAGAGATCGTCGCCGCCGTCGTCGGGAGACACGAAGCCGAACCCCTTTTGGCCACTGAACCACTTGACGGTCCCAGTGGATCTGTTCGCCTCAGCCATCGGTGACAACTGCTTCGCCAAGCTTCTAGAAGATTCCCCTTTGTCACCAAATGTTCTAGAAGCTTCTGTTTCAGAAGATTTACCTTATCTTCTTTGTTCTGAGGGGACTGGAGTTGTGGCAGACTGAGTGACATTGGAGAGGAGCTTCTTTAGAAGAATTTGCTGTTTCTGTGAGTGGGGACCACATGCTTGAGGTGATCGGACGGTGGAAGATTGGATTAGAGAAATGCATGTTGGGATCTACGGTTGAGACGCGTTGGTTACTTTATCCCCTTGGGGTTTGGTTGAAATTCGATGTTGCATCATAGATATATATAATATGTACTACTACAATTTGTATAATACAAATGAACAATATATCAATATATCCTATTACGTAGTATAATATATATATATATATGTACTTTCCCGTTGAGGCCCAGATTTGGATTGGACTGAATTTCTCTGGGCTAATATCTTCTAGCAAAATTTAGAAATTAAAGCCCAAACTACTTAACGTCTGGGTTGGCCATGGTTGATGCAGTAGTACTTGTACGGAGTGTGAATAATTTTGGTAAAATGACACTCTCCCATTGGGCTATAATGAAAACACTCTCACAATGGGCTCACATATCATATCCACGGGTAAACGAGTAAGAATCGGACCGGATTATGCTTGATCCGATTCGGGTTCAATAAAATTATTTTTTATTCTAATATTATACGATAATTGATAGATTAATTATAAATAAATTTATATTTAATTTTGTTATAAGTTGAATATTTGATAATTCAATAGATTAATTATAAATAAATTTATATTTAATTTTGTTATTAGCTTGATATTCGATCCAGTAACCCAATTGAGTAGTTATAGATTGATCCACTTGCATAACTGTTTCACTTATCCATGGCATTTTGATTTATAATTTTAATTGTTTTATCCTCTTGTGTCATTTTAATAGCAGATTTTAGATGTCACCAATGTACAAAGGTTGACTTTTTTGGTATAAAAATTTGGACGGTTGGCATCACTTTTTTTTTGGTTAATCGGGGTGGCATCACTTGTTACCTAGAAACAGCGGTAAATTTTAAAAATAAATAATAAAATAATACAAATAGAATACTTTAAAAAATAATATCTTGAAATTAATTTTTTTTTCTTCTTCTACACGACAGGGACACATATGACATAGACATGACAATAACACGTTTGTGATAATTTTGTAATTTTTTTTAAAGAATAAAATTCAATACAATTTAAAATATATTATGAAATAATTAAAAATTTAATATAAAATTAAAAAAAAAAAAAAACAAAAACAAAAATAATAAACATCTACTTCTAAACTTTGAATTGATGATTTCATTCATGATTGTAGGAATAAAATGAGTAAAAAATTATTATTTTATATTTATAATAATATATTATATTATTATTATTTGTAAATGTCTCACAAGAGCAAGTGAGGTCATCCACTTCTGTTTTCAACTTTTCATGTTTGCTGATCATATAAATGTATAGAATTGTTTCTTCTATAATCAGATATATGCAGGTGACTAATGTGTGACATGTTTCTCCGTGCAGGAGACTAGTTTCCGCATTAATTCGTGCTCTTGTCTCCCACCACTTAAATTTTATGTCCTCAAACAGCAAAATTTAGAGTTCCAAAATATTGGCGGACAGCTAGAAGCATCATCATGACTATAAATTCTGTTGCTGTTTGAGGACATAAAATTTGAAATTGCCATGTAAGATTTTGGTTGAATTATCTCTCTAATCATGACCTTAAAGAAGCTGAATTACTTGGTATTGTTGTTATCAACGCCCAACCACCCAAGAAAAAAAGGAAAATGCATTGAATAGCTGTTTTAGATTGAAACTGATGGATGTGATCCAACATTATACAAGACTTGATTGCAGTTAACCCTTTTGTGGTAAATAATATTAATTGCCCATTATTTAGAGAAATATATCATTGAATTGAAAATATATCTAAATGGTCAACAAAACCATTTTAACGAAGAGGGGTATGCTGAATTTTTTTTAATAGGTCACGGAAGTAATGGAATGGAATATTCATTCCAATTATTCATTTATTCGGTATGAAATGTAAAGTGGGAATGACTATTTTTTTTATTTATGAAATTGACCATTCTATTTCCAAATATTTTTTTTTGAAAAAAATCAAGTTCCCTTGTGTTCCAAACTCAAAAACCACTGCCAACACCGCCACCTCCACCACCATTGTCGCCACCTTCCGCTGCCACCACCACTACCTCCACTTTCTTGCATCACTGCCACCATTGTCGTCACCTTCCAGGACCGCCACCTCCACCACCAGACCGTTGTCGCCATCACAACCACCACCACCTCCACTTCTTTCTACCATCGCCACCACCACCACCTTCCGCCACCATCATTACCACCGTCGCCATTGCCACACCACTGCCATCGCCTTTCACACCATTGCACGAATGCCGCTGCGGCTGCCACTGCCACTGCCTTCCACAACACCACTTACACCACCACCTTCCTCCAACCCTACCACCATCTTCCAACACCACCACACCTCATTTCACCTCCACTGCCAGCATTTATATATATATATATATGTATATATATACTCTCTATGTCCCAAAAAAGATATTCTGTTTGGGAAACCGTGACAAAAAGATGTATTAGTGGGCTAGCATAGGGAAGGGGAAGGGGAGCTTTTTAGAAAGAAAAAAATAATTTGAGGGGGACACTATGTAATTATATACAAATTATATATAAATATATATATTAACGTCCCCCTGGGCCAAGCTGGCTCGGTCCCTGTCTTTACCATCATTCAACCACTCCTCTCCCTGTAATAAATTCTCACAAATGCCGTGGGATGCTTGACAAATATGTGTTGCTTTCTTCTTCTTTTTTCAACACAAGAATACATTACTGTAAAATGTAGTACATAGGTTAGACATCTCTATCAATATTACATCGACCACCACAAAACATACGAATCTGCCACATAAGGCAGTCACTAATACTATTAAAGCAACAAATGATTGTATCCGGCACTGCCCAGGCTGTTATTTGGGGTAGTTGCGACTCTGAAGGTAACTTGTACTATAATTGTTCCTTTAATTTATGTTGGTTGTTTTTTTTATTTATTGAAAAAAAATAAAAATCTCCTGTTAGTTCAGTGTTATAAATTTGCTTTAAAGGTTGGTGCTCCATAATAAAAGTAACGTACGGTTTACACAACAGATGTAAAGCATTAGGAAATACTGTATATAATATTGGGGATCTGAGAGTGTTTTGAGAGTTTCTATCAGACCAAACAGCTTTCGCAGTAAATACCTTGTCATCCCCAGATTCGATTCTGTTGCATGTTTGTCACGTATATACACATTAGGTAAATTATTTGAAATGTATAATCATATGATGCTTCTTATCAAGTTTCATGGCCGCCTTATGCTTTAATATTGGCATCTTCTAATTTATTTTTATTTTTATTGTTGTTGTTGCTGCTGCTGTTCTTGGCAATTATATGATGCTTGTGAAATTACTGGATTGCAGTTCAGGATTGAAATTAGTGGATATAATTTAATTTATATGTATATTTGAGTGTGTTTGTGTAGCTTCTGTATGAATACACAAGGTACTAACTTTTTCATGGAACTTTTTCTTAGGTTGACAAGGTATTTACTGCAGAAGCTCTTTGGTCTTGGAATTGTTGGTGCCACAGGAACCAGAGTTCTATATACCTTAATCTCCCTTCTAGTATGCTCCCTCTCTCTCACACACTCTTACAGAGTTAGAAACAAAGCTCACAAATACACAAACGTTGCGTTTTGAACTAAATTTTCTCCAATCCCAAATTCAATTCGCCAATTGAGTGCTCCCAAACATAGCATAAAAGAATATCTTTGCCTATGAAACTAGATTTTGAACATGTTGGTTAGGAGTAAACATGCTCTAGTACTGTATGAATTGTTTCACTCCTGTTGGATTATTCATGTGTGAATACATATTCGACTGGTTATTAATTCAGATATTTGATCCGATAATCCGATCTGTTGAGGGTAAGAGAATTTTAGACAGTTGGTGATAGCATTTTGATACCTATTGGAATTCTCAACTGTGATAGAATTTTAGAAAGTTGGTGAACCATGCATCCCAACACTAATAATAGCATTTTGATACCTATTGAATTCTCATCTGTATTAAAATTTTAAAAAGTCGGTGAATCATGCATCTCAGCATTAAAAAGTCTATACTTCAAAAAAAAAATTTTTACTCCAATTTAGATGTGCACACACATATATGTTTTATAAAACTCTCTCTCTTTATTTTTGAGAAATGTACCTCTTCCTTCTAATCAGATAAAAAAACTGGAAAATTTCCCTCTAAACTCTTCTTTCTATCTCCTTTTTTTAAATGCAGATAAATAAATGACTATGATTAGCCTCCATAGAAGTCGAACACAATTCAGCAATGGGAAATTTATGAGAAGGTCACGACCACCCTCAAAGCTTCCCAAAGTTTTGCAGGATATCGTCGATGCCACTTTGATCTCTCATAGGTTTATTCCTTTTCCTTGTATTAACTTGAAGGTTTTTCTTGTATTTTAATGAATTTTGTTTTTTATTATTTTTTTATTATTCTGTTTGGCATATAAGAATTCATGGGCAAAAGGAAACAAAATCAAAATCTTGTTTATACTCATTAGGTAAATTATTTGAAGTGGTTCATCTGTATTTTATCATCCACCACCAGATTCTACTTCCAATATGGTACTATATGATGCTTCTTTGTCAGTTTCATGGTCTTCTTGTGCTTTAATATTGGCATCCTCAATTTTGTTGTTGTTGTTGTTGTTGTTGTTCTCGACAATTTTAGGAATTTTAAAAAGATCATATGCTTGTGAAATTAATGGATTGCAGTTCAGGATTGAAATTAGTGGATATATTTAATTTATATGGATATTTGTGCCTTGATCTTCCTTCTAATATGGTCTCTCTCTCTCACACACACACACACATACTTGCAGAGTTAGAAACACAGCTAGCATACTCACAAATACTCTAAAAGAATGTCTTATTCACAACTGTATGAATTATGTTTAGATGTTTACTGTGTCCTTGCTATCCCATCAGTTTACATATGTCTTGTTAGGTTGGTGATTTGGTTGAGTGATTATGTTAATTAACCTAATTTGAGCTAGATAATGATTGATATAGAAACATTGCACTTTTATATTTATATATAATTAAGGCTACACAACACAAGTAGTAGCATTCATTTCATGTATTGATGGTTAATTGAAATTGTAGCCAGGGGGTTCTGGATGCCTATGGGAACTAGAACATTTGAACACGTTGGTTAGAAGTAAACATGCTCTAGTGTATGAATTGTTTCACTCCTCGATGGATTATTCATGAATGAATGCATATCCTATTTGTTATTAATCCGGATAATTGATCTGATAATCTGACCTGTTTGGTGTTATTTTTTGCTAAAAAAATTTAATTTCAAAAAGAGATTAGCACACAATGATTAGAGAGAGAAGCTGGGATGATAAATAAAATATGTACAGAAAATAGAAAAAAAATATATGACTTTTTATTAAAGGAAAATTCAATAAAGAGAGACAAAATAGAGAGAGGGAAGAAGAAATAATAATGATAAAGAACCTTCTAATAATATTCAAAGTATTATATATTATAGTATTAGATAATATAATTATAGCATATTATATATTATATCATGTTGGATCATATTATTATCTGATTCTTTGTTTTTAGCTAACAGATTGTTCAGATTGGATTTGGATCAAAATTTGATTCATTGACAAATCTAGTGGGAAGTAGATGAGAGTAGTAGATGAGAAGGTGTTTCGTACTCGGGAGCTAGTTGGCCTTGTGTCAGCTTAGCAACTTGAATGTGCTAATTCATGGTGACCTCAGTCAATCCAAGTAGGATTAATTAGGGCTGTAAGTTGGGGTGGCCCAACCAAGGCCAATCCCAAGCCAACCTCAACTCGAATCGAGTTTGATTGGACCAGCTCGAATTGTACCCAACATGAGTTATAGTCATAACCCAAACCAAATATTTTCAGACGGATCGGGTCAGTTGTTCTTTATGAGTATTGTGTGCGATATTTCAAGTTGGTTCATTCTTGATGGGGTGGTTTGGCCTTGTTTTCAAAAGGGATATTGCGGAAGTTTCAGATTTTTGTAGCCGTTGGACTGACAACTGGTTACTTGGGATGCCTTAATCTTTTAGCAATAGGAATAAAAGAATGCGTGACACCAATGTGTGAAGGCCAATGGGCTTTTGTTTTCCTCGGCTTTATTGTAGGTAATGCAACATTTTGAATTATTTGAGGGTACGAAGAATCTGGCAAATGATGAGTACATAATGTGAATATTAATTTTATCTGCTTAATCTCCTGCTTGGTCCCTCTAAGAATCTAGCTCATTCAATGAAGTGTTCTTTTATATATATATATATATTCTCATATCTGTTTTGCTGGCTATTCCATAATTATTGGGATCAAGTCAGCCAAGGGTTTGGGGTGGCTTCTCGAAAGATTAAACACAAGTCCAGAACATGGCATCTCTAACTCCAAAAGCAATTGCAATATGAACAGAAAGCGTCACTTGGCAGTTGGGCTTGTTATGGGGTGTGACCGTGTGAGTGCGACTTTACTGAAGAAAGAGTTCTGACAGTGGCAGCATTTGATCGAGCTCAGCTGCGGATGGCTTGCATGTGTGGATAAGGTGGTGGTTAGCTCGACTCAATGGCCATGGTTTTAGGACGAGCAGACTTGTTGAAATGGATTCCTTTTGGGACTCTAATCGCCAATGTTTCTGCATGCAGCTTGTGTAATAAGCCTGGTTGTCCTAATCACCCCCTAATCCACACATGCAAGCCAAGCGCAAGTGAGCTCGATCGATCCAATGCTGCCACATACTGTCAAAACTCTTTCTTCACTAAAGCCTACTCACACCCCATAATAAGCCTAGTGTTACCCTAGGCGAACTTTAAATGCGAGGCCTTTTATACGCAAGGTTTGCCTCCTTTGTAACTTGGTCAACGAAACCCATGATCATTTCTTCTTTGCTTGCACCTACACAAGACCAATCTGGATCCATCTTCAACAAATAGCTAGATTCCGTGCTCCACCCTCGTCATGGTCCGATTTCGTCCTTTGGGCCTCCCATCGTTGGGCAAGAAGGGATGTGAGAAATTCAGTGAGGAAGCTCGTGCTCTCCACCACCGTCAATAAAATCTGGATGGAGCGAAACAACAGAGTTTTCATGAATCAGAGAAACTCACAAATGGTGGTCTTAAAGCAAATCACAGACATGGTTAGACAAAAATTACTTTCAACCATCATCAAGTACTCACCTTTTGCAGGAAAACTGGTGCTGGATTGGGAACTACGAGCGTCGATGCTGAGACCACCGGCGGAACCCTCAGACGGAGCAGCTTAGGGCTATGGCTTCTGTAAATGATAGCCCTTGAACATTCACCGGATTGATTGCAAGTTTTGACAGGGATAGTCTCTTATTTGCCCTAGGCTAAACGCTGTCACCGCTTCTGTGTTGGGCTAGGCCGAGTGATAGGCTTTTGTTGGATATTTTGTTGGGCCTGTCCACTAATCGTGGCCGGCCTTTATTTTGGCAACTTTGTAAAGTTTTACCATTTATACAATACTTACCTTCCAAAAAAATTTTTATAAGTGTAAATTTTTTATTAAGATGAGATGATTAGTACATAAAATATATGGAGGAGTGCTAATTGCAGTCGAGCAAACGACTGTCCATTCATAGTCGCAGTATGGACATAATCGCATTTAGGATTGTTTAGTTTTAAATGCATTAGTTATGTGAATGTATTCTGGAAAAGGAAAAAAATATAGATAAGATAATTCATTCACAAGATATGGATGGATTCGGGAAAAAATAAAAGAAAGAAGAAAAAAAAAAAAAAAAAGTGAGAAAAAAATCCAAAAAGAATAGAAAGAAAGGTATAAAAAAAAAATCGATTATATATTTCTTCCTTTTTTGTTTTTTCCTATATATATATGTTTCTTTTTGTTTTTATTTTTACAACTATCCTTGTATAAATGGATTTTAAGGGAAAAAAAATGAAATAAAAGAAAAGGAAATAATTCATTCACCAAAAAAGAAATATATACATATATAAAACTAATTTTGTATTTAATTCGGTCTTGGTGTTTTGTAAAGAGTATAAGATTCAGTTTACATCAAAAAAACTAAAAAAAAATTATTCAACATAATTTAGTCACAAAAATCAAAATTCAACTTCATATTAAAGTAAATATGAACGTCTTGCATTTTGAGCTGCATAATTATCGATTAAAATGTTATAATCAAGTTTCTACAACGTATCTTTTTCAATAGATATCATAGTCAAACCATTCAATCTCACTTGTGACATAGTCGACTACAGGTAAGATTTGATTAATTTTATCGTCGAAAAACTTGATACAACTTTAACTGGGATAGTCAATAATACTCTATATTCAATCCAAGCATTTGAAAAACAATAAACTAGCCTAAAAAGCAAGGGAAAGGCACAAATTTAGTATGAAAAATTTAGTACGAAAAAGATTATTTATGCTTAGTTACTCACCGGTAAGTAGGGTGAAATTACTCACCCCTATGTGGTCCAATAACAAAATAACATATCACATTTAATAATAAAATAATCTACATCTAAAAACACTATATACATTTATTTGATGGTTGATCCGAGAAAGCAGAGAAATGTATGAATTATTTTATTATTAAAGGTGGTGTGTTATTTTATTATTGGATCACATAGGGGTGAGTAGCTTCACCCTATTCATCTATGAATAACTAAGCATTGTCCTTTTAGAAAATATTAGACCATCTCCAATGCAAAATGCCATTTTTGCGTGCCATATCTATATTTTGAAAGGAGATACAATGTCAAAATGTTATATTTTAGCAATTCTGTTCCAATGGTGCATTTCATTTAAAACGCTATTTTTTAGCAATTCTACTCCAATGGTGCATTTCATTCAAAATGCTATTTTTTGACACCACAATCATTATTTTTCAACTACCCTTCCCAACTACAATTTTCAACAACCAATTTTTTTTTTTTTTTTTTTTTTTGAGTATTTGTATTCTATTTAGCTTATTTGCCTTATTAAAAATAAATAAATAAAAACAATGACATCTATATATATATATAAATTTGTGTGTGTGTGTGTGTGTGTATAATGTGTAGAAAGTGGATAGATTCGGTAAATTGGGTTTCAAAATACATGTGTAGTTTTACTGGAAACACAACTTAACTTTCTTCCTAGACATTGAATTTTTGGTGATTCACACAATAGTTAAGAATTGAGAACTAGATCCACGTATGGGCAACCTGGAACCCAACCCAAGTTGGTAACCCTTGGGCTAAGGGAAAGGCACAAATTTAGCAGAAAAATGATTATTCAACCAAATCCTTGGGCTAAGGGAAGGTTCTAGAAGCTTTTGTTTCAAAAAGTTATAGAAGCTTTTTTTTTATATTTTATATTTTTGGCTTATAAGTGACATTGCCCAACCCACATGGTGTTGACATGTTTGATGCAGTGGTACAGATTGTGAATAATTTTTGTTTAATGGACTTTTAAGTAATCTTGTGTACAAGAGCATTATAGGCTCATTGTTACAAATTGTGGGCTCCACATTATTAATGCATTCGCACTAATGCATTCGCAGTGCAAATGCACTTGCATTTTGAATATACAAATTGGATGGCAACTTGCATCCGTAATTATAGCCCCAAATACTTAATTTCGAAGGAAGCTGTGCGTGTGCGTGTGCGTGTGCGTGTGAGATTGGTGTGTGAGTACCATTTATATGTCGAAGCAAGAATACATCAGCTCTCTTATAAAATATTTTCCCCGTGCTCACAAAATGCAAGTTGCCATCCAATGTGTAACAATGAGCATATTAATGCATTCGCACTAATGCATGAGCAGTGCAAATGCATCTGCATTGTGTGTGCGCGTGTGAGATTGGTGTGAAGCTGTGTGTGTGCGTGTGAGATTGGTGTGTGAGTACCATTTATACGTGGAAGTAAGAATTGAATACATCAGCTCTCTTATAAAATATTTTCCCGTACTCACAATATGATCGATTTTATTGCGTTTTATTAAATGAATTATAATTAATTTTATTACTTTTATTATTAAATAATTTACATAGTTAATTTTACTACCTTTATTGTTTAATACTGAATAATGAATAGTAATACAACTCATCCCCGTTAGATTAGAATTATAATAGTTCATATTATATTATTGTTTCACTTAATGCAATTTTATTATTAAGATAAATATTTTTTTTCATAGTATGATAAGTTATGTTCTTATATTGTTATAACATCTAATTATTCTGAAAATGTCAAATTTGACAAAATTAGAATCCGTGGCCCTGGACATTTTCGACAAAAAAAAAATATATATTATTTTAGATTTTGGATGCTCGGATCCGTTAAAGAGTCTTGGAAACACAATTCAGTAAGAAAGTGATGCATCATTATTCATTACCAGATAAGGTGAGTGTCATGGTTTTCATTCGTCGCCAAAACTGAATACCTCATTCAAAGAGATCTACTAAATTTGTAGAAAAATTTGAAAGAAAGATATGATATCAGTAAACAATTATCCTTCCAAAAATTCAAGCTGAATACCTCGAGATCCACTAAATTTGTAAAAAAATTTGAAAGAAAGATATGATATCAGAAAACAATTATCCTTCAAGCTAAATACCTTATTCAAAGAGATCCACTAAATTTGTAGAAAAATTTAAAAGAAAGATATGATATCATAAAACAATTATCCTTCTAAAAATTCAAGCTGATTGGCATTTAAAATTGTGGTTGAATACAACTCTGCCCTATTTTAAATCAGGTTTTATATGGTGATACTATCACTAATGAGCTTGTTTTGGAAAAAAAATTACATTATATTTCACGTCTCAAATGTGTTCTTACAGAGCTATATTCAAAGCTGATATTATATTTAGTTTTGACTTAGCAAAATAATGAATTTTTATTAAGAAATCACCAATCCTGGGCGTGTGCATTTGACCACGGTGATCGAAATGATAATAAATATGATCGTAGAACTAAAAATGATCATAATGACTGATATGATCGTGAAATCATTTTCAGCATCGTCATCATCGTCGTCAGTGTTATCGTGTGGCAGCTATCAATTCTCAATTTCTAACCATTATATTACGAATCGTGGCACCCACATGAAAAAAGTAGATACATCCGGAAAGTAAAAATCCAATGTCAAGATTTTGGTTGCACCATAACAGAATATTTTATATATATATACAGATGGGTGCTTTAGGAACAAAGTGGAAGAAAGTGTCAGATAAGAAAAATGAACAGATATTGAAGGATGTTCATACATGGATATGCTCTTGAGCATGATTGGTAGCCATCTCAATGGAGGAGTCGAGTGGATAGGTTTCTTTAGTTTTCAGAATTTTAATAGAACAAAATTTGTTTTTACCAAAGAGACAAATTATATTTTATAAAATTTAATTATAAAAGTTGTAATTTTCTTTCTTATTTTTTTAAAATTATAAAATTTCAATCAAAAATCTATCAAGGTGGAATATATATATATATATATATATATATATATATAAAAGACTAGTGAACAAAAAAAGAAAAAAAGTAAAGAATAAAGTATAGCCATATATATCTAATCAAGAAGAAAGAAAAAATGAAGACAATTGTTAAAAATAAAGAAAAAAAAATAAAATTAAATATATGTAACAAAAGAAAGAAGGAAGGTTATTAGGTATCAAAAAAAGAAAAAATAGTTTAAAAAGGTAATTTAATTTTAGAATTGAGAATTTATAATCTCGAAAAAACATAAGAAAGTCACATTAATTATAATTTATTTTTCAACCCTGCAGATTTAGCACTCCTCAAAAACTACTTTATCGCACATTACCTACTGTAGATAATTAATTGACACGTGTGTGTAGCAGACAATTGTAAAGGGTCTCTTGAAAGTTCATAAGAGCATCACACGGGCTGGCGGAAGGATCTTTCCGCCTGAACGGCCCAGAAGTGCTCCACGTCTTATGAAAAATGAGTGGACTCACAAAGGATTGATTCGCGGTATTTCGCGAGCCAAGGCCGATCGCAATATATATATATATTTATTTTATTTATTGTCAAAACCGCTTCATTTTTGGAGAGTTTTTTTCTTTAACACCGCCATAAGGTTTTATTTGGCCGCAAGTTTTAAAAAAAAAAAACTAAAAAATATATTATTTTGAGCTTTTTTTTAAAAAAAAAATAAAATTCATATTGTCCAAAAAAATTTTGGCCAAAAATAAATTAAAAAATCTTTTATTTTTGCTTTTTTCCCTTAAAAATCAATTTTTTTACTTTTAAAAAACTCTTAATTTGTTTTTTTTTGGGTTCATAATAGATAATGTATTATTTAAAATTATAATATCAATCCTACTTTTTTTAATAATTTGTAAAGATATTGTTTGATTGAAAAATATTACCGTTGAGAAACAATTTCATCATTTTAATATTAAAAAACTATTACATAATAAAAATTATAGTACACAAAATAAAGCTGTTACAAATATAATCGTTAGGGATATAGCGGTTAGAAATATATCCATTATGAAAAAGTTTAAAAAAAAAATTAATTAGTTAATTAATAAAAAAAAAATTTGAGAGCAAAAATCCGGAGAGCCTGATGGAGTGCCTATTTCAAGAGAGCGAAAGCTGTTGACGTGATTCTTGGAATTGCTGACATGTCTTGGAAAAGCTGAAGTGGCAGTTTTGGAAAGTCAAAATCCGAAGAGGCTGGTGCGGATGCTCTAAGTTCCCTCAACAGTGTTAGAAACGAGATTCATATATTGGGTTCTTAAATGGATTCCCGAGGTCCCGAGGACACTTCGGGAAACTACAATAAAAATTCTTAACAAATATCTATACCGAGATATTTCCTCAGGAATTTTGGAGAAATCCCAACTCGGAATTCCTGTGGTATTTTAAGAATAAATAAGAGGGTACATATTTTTTATTTCCTGTGTTCTATGGTGACCCAAATTTACTGGATCCGAATCGTTAACTGAGTCTTTACCCGAACTCGAAGTCATGCAAGGGTACTATGGTCATTTCATATAAAATTAACACTTTTGGGCTCAACAAGGGCAAAATGATCATTTAACTCAAGTATAATGGCTTATGACCCAAAAGGGTAAAACAGTCATTTGTTAAGGTCATACAATAATTAGAATGAAATTCGGAGATAATACGGTCATTCCGGTAGGTAAAATATAATTAATATATTTTACTGCACGTAGTAT